GCAGAAAGGAAACAGTCCAGAAGGTTCCTGCAGTGTGTGGAAGATAACTTCCTGACACAGCTGGCAAGTGAGCCTACTAGGGGAGGTGCCCTGCTTGACCTCCTATTCACTAACAGAGAAGGACTGGTGGGAGAGGTGGTGGTCGGAGGTCGTCTAGGCCTTAGTGATCATGAAATGGTAGAGTTTTCGATCTTTGGTGCCCCTCACTACAAGAAAGATGTTGCGTTGCTGGAACATGTCCAGAGGAGAGCAACCAAGCTGGTGGGGGGTCTGGAACACAAGTCATACAAGGAGCGGCTGAGGGAACTGGGGTTATTTAGTCTGGAGAAGAGGAGGCTGAGGGGAGACCTGATCACCCTCTACAACTACCTGAAAGGAGGCTGTAGGGAGGTGGGGGTCGGCCTCTTCTCCCTGGTAACAGATGATAGGATGAGGGGGAATGGTTTGAAGCTGCACCAGGGCAGGTTTAGGCTAGACATTAGGAAAAACTTCTTCACTGAAAGGGTTGTCAGGCACTGGAATGGGCTGCCCAGGGAGGTGGTCGAGTCCTCATCCCTGGAGGTATTTAAAAGAAGGATAGATGAGGTGCTTAGGGACATGGTTTAGTGGTGGGATGTCAGGGTTAGGTTAAAGGTTGGACTCGATGATCTCAAAGGTCTTTGCCAACCAAAGTGATTCTATGATTCTATGATTACCTGGGAGTAGGACCTTGCACTTGACCTTGTAGAACTTAATGAGGTTCCCATGGGCCCACTTCTCAAGTCTGTCAAGGTTCCTCTGGATGGCATCCCTTCCCTCCCAACCAAAGTGATTCTATGATTCTATGATTACCTGGGAGTAGGACCTTGCACTTGACCTTGTAGAACTTAATGAGGTTCCCATGGGCCCACTTCTCAAGTCTGTCAAGGTTCCTCTGGATGGCATCCCTTCCCTCAAGCATATCAACTGCACCACCATAAATATAATTATGCTATTAGTATAAATTATTAGCATAAATATTTAGCTTAAAATAGTTCAGTTGCAATTTTTTTTTTAATATTCTCCTGGGGTTTCTGACTGGTAAATAGGGAAAGCATCCAAGATCCTGTATCTGTCCAACTCATCCAATCATTGGGGTATTTTGCAGGAAGTGGGGGCCAGCACTCCACTGGTTATGCTTTGAACATAATTTAAAAGCTGCCAGTCTGTTGCAGTGATGTTCTGAACATCATTATTAAGTCAAGCCCCTCAGAGATCTTAGGCGTAAGGAAGACTGGTTTCTGAGCCCAAAAAGACTTTGATTGGAAGATGGTCACGAATGACAAGTGTAAATCCTATGTATGTGCATTTTAGTACTGATAAAAAATTCCATTCAAAAAGAACTGAGGGAAAACATGATAGACACCTTCAGGGAGAAAAAAAAAAAGTCATAGGCAAGATCAGCCCGTTCAATTATACCAAAGAACTCCTCTGTCAGCTTAAAATAAGGTACCTCCATATCCTATTTCCTCCATAATAAAAGCAGATTTCTTAGGACCCATCCTGAAATGGTCTGTCTGGATGCCTAGAAGTAGCTAGGTAACTTAGATGCTTGAGGCAACAAATTTCTTAAGGGTTCACAGTGAAAAACGAGTATGAAAGTGTATTATTAAGATTATACACTGGCCTTATGAACAAGCAGAGCTATCTGTTACTTATATATGAATAAAACCTTGGAAGAATTCAGGAAACATTCATACATCAATGTTTTTAGATGATGCCAATTAAATTTATATAAAATGATAACCCATATAACAAATAGTATATAATGCAAGACACATATATTATAGATATGATATAACTACAAAAAAAAAGTAATTATTGAGCAAATAAAGTTCCATCCAGACTATGTAGCCTTCTCTGACTACCTATTTTATGATTTTATGGTACTGACCATACCAATTCTGTGCTGGGATAACAATATTCTTTCCTAGAAATACCCTTTCCCTGGCTTCATAATCTGCTCTGATTTTTTGTTAGGTACTTGTATACCACCCAGTGTAGTCTGTGAACTGTAGGTCAGAGAATCTGGCACAACATAGACCACACAAGTTATCAGAAGAAAAACATTTTGGTTTACTGACCATGATGTTTATGTGATTTTCTTTATTATTATTTTTTTTTAAACTATGTTTGGTTTACCATTGTTTAAAATTTCTAAAGCTATTAGTATAACAGCTCGGGTTACCACACCTTGAAGGCGCTGCAGGTGGCACACGGATCCCTCTTCCTCGAATGCCCCGTCCGCGTGCTGAATCCTCAGAGCCGTTCAAATATGACAGTTCTCTAAGCTGCTCCTGGCGAATTTCATCATTATAATCCTGAAATGCAAGAGGTGAAACTTGCTGAAACTTTGTATTTGGGCTGAGCTGCCAAACCAGAAATGACACGGATGGTATTCAGGTGAATTGCTCTTCATTATCACCCGTGTCCTGAAAAAACATACAGCGGGAGTGGACAAATACCTATAATGTATGGACTGACAAATTTATATGGGTAGTTAAGGTGGCCATAAAGCACATGTACACACAAAATAAAACACACAAGGCACAGAAGGCGTAAACACAAAGCAGACACCAAGAACATATCCGTGTATGAGATGCAAATGGACCTTCACATACAGAAGGTACCAAACTCAAACATCTTGAAATTAGATCAAAAAATGCATTTTACAAATATTTTATATTTTTTTGGCAGACATCCCTGGCTACCATCCATGGCACACTTAAAACATAAATTCCACCTTACATTGCACCTCAGTGTGCAAAATTTACACGAGAGTCATTTCACTGGATGATTTTATCCAATACCATTTAGCACCACTGAATGTGCCCTTCAGTTATTCTGTATATCCACAAAAAAACTTCTGAAAGGAGCTCTCTCTTTACGACTCATAAGTAACAAAGCTATGTTTACTATATAAAATTGTTAAATGATATAAAATAGGCCCATTCTAAGACTGCAGGATATCGACTGTAGCACTGCAAGCTTCTGCCGGCTCAGTAAGCAGAACACCGGATGAATTTCCTTTTCTTACTGATACAAAATATATAATATAGGGCAATTTTTACTTATTTTGCAACCTTCGTCTCAGTCAGAAGTTCCTTATTCTTTCGCTTCCTTTCTTTTGCATTCAGCCCTTTGCCTGCTGATCACAGTGGTAAGAGCCCACTGCCGTCGCCAGCACGCTGGCAGCAGAACTGTGCAACAGCTAATTAGTGTTTCAAACCAGAAAGGATTATTGAATTTCAACCCTTAGGTCTTTCCATCCTGCCACAGGCAACTGCCATTGACTGTCATGCAAGGGTCCGAAAATGCTACAGTGCCTGCTGCTTCTCAGGTGGGTGACTGTCCAGGACGCTATACAAGTGACAACTCTTTTTTGCCAAGTTAAAGACCAAGCAAACAGTGAGATGGAACCAGGGCCTTGCTTGTTCCTTCTCCTTCCTGAGGACATCCAGGAAATCTGTTTAATGATATTATGCTGATCCTGTTGTATTCTAAGAAAGTATAGGCCTGGTGACAATTTCACTTCTAAATTTCCAGGGAGTGAAGCTAGACTAAAATCTGTTAATGAAATTCAGAGAAGACCCCCGTTTATACAATACAGTGTGTGATACTTGCAGGAGAATCGTAATTAAAACCAAATCCCTAATTTTCTAATAAACCATATAATGGCTTTCAGTTCACACCAATCCCCTAATCTTTTTTCACATTTTTCTATCATTCTAACATTGACGGTAATAAGCCAAAGGCATCTTCCTAAATCAATGTGCTCTGTAAAACAGAGAGGAAAAACACAAATAGAGATAATGAGGTCACATTTACAGCAATTGCTGAACAGGTACCATCTTGCTTAATATCATCTGTTACTCACACTGGCTTTACAAGGATTAGGACTTCAAACTTGCTGATTGAATTTACCCTTCAGATTCCACACCAGTGCTGGGATGGAACTTCATTAATAATGCCAGTAAATTTTCTAAGAGAAAGATTTGGGGTGGAGTGGGGTGAAGAGAAGGGACCTGCAAGTGACAGAAATTGGAATTTTCTGCATTGCTGCTTTAATCTCTCTCCTTTGGAACATTGCTGTATAAATGAATTCTACCAGAAATTGCCTCAAAGCTTCTATTCCTTCCTCAGATACACGTACCATTTGCAATCTTAGTACTGATGAACAGAAAATCCCACATAAATTTATAATATACTGCAAGACCTGCAAATCTGCACCATTCTGTTATGCAATGCCCTTCATTTTTCTATAAGATATTTACTGCATGTCCAGTTAAGAGATATGCACAATGTATATTGAAATGGCAAGGTAGAGACAACAAAGTACAAGGAGGACTGTAATTAAGATGCTGGGACAGGTATCCTGAAAGAGAAAGATTTCGGTAAGAAAATTACAACTCTATCATTTATCTTATGTGCCCTTTAAAAATCATAATAAAGACCATAATTTCTAAACCTGAAATCTGAAACTTTCAACAGAAATGCTCACTTCAACTCTTTCATTACACAGAAACATAACACTGACTTAATCTTTTATAACTGCTACATGAGTCTAGCTATAGACAGAGTACCCTGCTGAATATTTAATTGCAGCTGAGTTCAGAGCCCAGCACATGAGCAAAATTATGCTGCTGCTGCTTCATATCTGTTTAGTCCCAAGAGAGAGTACAAGATGTTGCAAGACATACCTGTACTGAAGAAAGGATAATGAAGCAGCTACACAGGGCAGTAGTATGTTGTGTTTCAGAAAAAAAAAAAGCCCTGCTCCTGGCATTAAAATAAGCTCATGAGAAATGTTCTGTACTTCTTAGCTTTTCTTATAGCTCTCTAATAGTCCTACAGCTGTTCTTACAGCTGATAATCTACATTAACCTATATGTTTTACTCCTGTTTATATCCTTAAAGACATTATTACCTGTAAACAGCTTTTCCATTTACTGATGATACCGAGGGTGCCATCTACTCGTATCACGTTTGTCAATGTTTGCAAATAAAACTGTAGGCGAGCCAGCCACCCATGCCCACGGCTATTCACCTGAACATGCATCTTGACTTTAGAAATACCAAGGGTTTACAACGTTAGCTAAGTCAGTAGCATCCAGGGCCACCATAAACCATAATATTTATTTAAGTGCCTAAAACCCAAATTACGTATTTAGATAAAAATGTTCAGTATTCTAGAGCATGCACACATTTAGCCTAAATTACCAAGATTATGTTTATTAATGAGGGTCGGGCGTGATTAATTAGGTCGGTTGCCGTGACTGCTCTGGGAACAAAGGAAACCCGTTAGTATCAGAGTCCGACTGGTGGCAGCTCGCCCAGGGGCCCTTCTAGCAGCAGTGGCAGAGGGCTGCAGCCAAGAGGGGAAGGCACACAAGCTGCTAGAGAACTCAAGAAACCATTTTGGGAAAAAATAGCAAAGTATGACGCAAGCTGCAAAACCTGATCTGAATTAAGAAGAACATGTAGTGACAATGGAGGAGAGTTAATAAAGAAATCAAAGGGTAAGGCATAGGCAGACACAACGGATTTTGGGAATATATATCTATCATTAGCATAACAAAGGCTCATAGAAGTCAAGGATAAATCAACCCCTTAAGGACTGTGATCTCCTGTCCTGATGTGCTTTGCAGGTTTAAGTTCTTCCCATGTGTATGAATGATTTGCACTATTAATAAATATCATTACTCCTGTCTGTGACAGCTGAATTTCATTCTAACTCCATAGTTAAAGGGAGAGTAATTTAGGTTAAACACAAACTACCTTAAGAATGCAGAGTTATGCAAGCCAAACCTAAAATGCTAATCACAATTCTTCACACTGACAATTTTGAAATATGAACAGGCCTCACTTGGTCCCTTTATACAGATGACATTTTACAGCATACACACCTTCCTTACACAGTTAAGCTAGCTATGTATCATGCAAAGAGCAGACTTCCTCCACATAGTGTTGCTACTACTAGGAGAGTTTTACAGGTATCTCAATTCTACAGACAAACAACTACATATTAAGATCTGTATTTAAGTAATCAAAAAAAAAATGGTTGTTTTTTTTTTTTTTCTTATTTTCTCTATAACTCTTAATATGCTTCCCAAAGGTCCCAAGGTAACAGTAACTCAAATTTACAGCTGGCCTATGCAGAGGTCCTCTGATCCTGAAAATCTCAGTCTGCGCTGCCTGAACTATGAAGCACTCTTTCTCTCACAGGTACATAATATTCTCTGAAGCTCTGTGTTGCCAACAGAGAGCACCACATTCACAGGCATATGCGTGCCCCATCTTGCAATCCTCTCTTCCCATGCTCAGGTAGCAAAAAGGAAACAGGAGATGGATTTGGACTCCTTCAGCACTTCTGCATCCTGCCCTGCTCCCAGCATCAGAAAAAAAGCTCCAGGGCTCTGTGTATTTGCACAGATTCACTGAAGCTAGAGTATCTCCCCTAAATCCTGATGTTGCTGCCTTGGGGCTATTTTCAGGAAGCTTAAGTTCCAATTAACCTAAAATTTCCATTGAGTGCATGATTCAGAAAACCCATAGCCAGACAAGAATACACAAAAGTCCCAGTGAATTTTAGGTGGAGCTAGGTGATGTGAATATGGCCCGAGGGTTTTTTGTTTGTTTTTAGATACATACTAATTTTGGACACTAAAAGAGACATTGTCTTCATGCTCCCTTGTGTATATGGGGAAGCACTAAGCCTGTGAAAATAACTGGTGGTGAGGACCTCCCAGGAGTCACTGCTCCTTTGCATTCATGACAGTGAGCTGTGCTATGATTCAGCTTCAAAGCATGGTGAGAACCACTCACCTGGACTTACGAGGTCAGGATCTGCAGTTTATTATACTGAAGAGGCCAAGAACCTAGGAATTCCCACTTTCTAGCTGAGTGCTTCAATATCAGACTGTTACAAAAAAGAATAGCACGGGCTGCTCAGGACCAGAAGAACTTTGGTGAACTAAATCCCAAGTTGATAGAGATATTTGGCATTTCCTGTTATTTCTTTAGATTCTAAGATCCTGTTCTAAGACTCCAATGCATTCAAAATGTAAACATATCAGACTTTTCCCTGATCTGAAGCCGCTATCACTCTCTACTTAGGAAACAGACAGTTGTGCCAGGTAGGTTGGATAGCCCTCCTCATCACCTAAAATTTGGGTGAGACAGTGCCTCAGCTGGGCATGCAAATTAGGTGGATGCAACTGCATCCTCAATCTTCTTTCTTTGTCTCTCTAATACAAATTCAAAGTTCATTGCAAAACATGTGAGACCATGCCCAACCAAGCAATTCCTACAAAGTGCATCA